TCAGGTGAAAATGAAATAGAATATTTTTCAGTAAATTCTTTAGAAATCTTTACAACACTCAAACGTGTATTTTTCACAAATTTTCTAACTATAAATCTCTGGTCACGTTGAGCCCCGTCGAGCCCTGTTTGTTGGGCAACGTCTTCCTATTTTATTTTGGATCCGATTTTGTCACATACTGCACCATAGATTGGTATAAATTTACTAATTTACCGATATCCCGAATTGATTTGCCACCCTTATGATGAAAAGTCATCAATTTTTGAATGGAGGTCGTTGTTTCCTTATGACTAGGAGCTATTTTTAAATATTAAATAAAATTATAACGAAGTAAGTAAGCAATGAATAAAGCCAAAGGAATTTTTAAACGCCATCAGAATAGAAAACAAAAGTGGTAGACGATAATTTTATTTATGAAATTTTACAAAAATGTTTCGGTGTACGATCACTTTTGTGGCGTGTTTTATCTAGGTTTTACATTTTCAATTTTTGAAAAAAAGAATAAGTCAGTATTTAAAAAAGAAAAGTTTGGTTTTATTTAAAATCACATGGATATGATATGAAAAAATCTGATGCGTACACCACATGACTTCCTTGTATCGAATTAAATTGAATATTAATATAACGCATTTTTTTCTTGCACATCATTTAAATATGGATTGAATTAAATCTACTTCCGACAACGCAATAACCACATAGAATAAATGCATTCTTTAAGATTCACTCTAGTATTTTTCACCATAGTGACACTCTGGCGCTAGATTAACTTAACAGTTAATTATATAATAATTATAAAACGAAACTAAGTTACTGTTATATAATCCAAAAATTATAATAACAGTTAACTTATATATTCATTCAATTATAATCATAATGCACAAATTTATATCATTAAAGAATGGAATTATCTAATCGTTGCCACATGTCTATTCAAATACTATAATAAAGCTAGAATGATGTATAAAAGAAATTAAGCAAACAAACAAACAAAAAGAAACAGTTTTTCACAGACGATTGAGTATTTCTCATTAATTAATTCAGTTTCTCACTTCGCGAGAAGGCAAAAAATAATAAAAACTCAAAATATCTATATTAAAAATTACGAAGTAAATCTTAAACCAAACATTTCCTCGAAAAAATTCCAGAAAGAATTAAGCATGATTTAATTGGCAATAATAAATGAATGCGTTTATCTTTGTTGTTGCGAAGCTAATTTCTCTAGATTGGCAACAAATCCACTAGTCTCCTGTTTCAAATGTAAACATCAATGGCCGCCATTAAAAAAAAGGCTAGCGGCAATTAACAACTTTAAAATTGTTGATAATTCTAAAAATATTGCACACAGATTTACTAAAGGCCAAAAATCCTTAACCGGAAGATAAAAACAACATATTCAATCATTTTAAAGCAAAAAAAAATGTGTACAATTACAAATATATAAGAGTAAAGAAACTGAGATCACTGAGCCGGGTAACGAGTGGATATATATATAAATATATTTATATACGTTTGGTGCGGCCGATTGCAACCAAAATACGGATGCACATCTACATGTTATGCAGCAGTTCTATATACAAAATTTCAACGCTCTGAGGCTACTCGTTTTTGAGTTATGCGGATAGTACGTAGTAGACGGTACGTACGTACATACGTTCGTACAGACGCCACGAAAAATTCTCTTCATCAGAATTAATTTTAAAGCAGTTTTATAATTTTTTTGAAGGAAAAGAGTATTTTATTCTGTCCATACTACAGATATCACGCAAAAAACATCGTTAAATTGCATATATACGATAGCGGTCAAAATGGATATTTTCGTTGAAATATGCTGCCTGAAACTTTTCGCGATTACAGTACTTCCTTTTTACTTCGCACAAGGAAGTAAAAATATTGGGCTTAATATTCGAATTCAATTCCTGGTTATAATGTTTTTTTCTACAAATTCTTAAAGTGTACGAACACTTTTGAAAGCCGTATATTTGATATACCATCTATTTGTCTATTCATCTAGGAAAATAAACAAGAAAATTTAACATTACACAAAACCATCTTTTATCAAACAAAAGATTAAACCTTTAATTAAATATCAGCTGAAAAGTATATAATTTTTAATTCGGGAATCTAACAAAATATATTCTGTTTAACACATGTATACTGGAATGGGGACTGATAGTCACTAGAAACTTTCAAACGGATTTCACATCTCCGGAGACATAACATTTTATACATATTTTTGTTTCTTCCCTACCGAGATGAAATTGTACACTTCTAAAATGATATTTTAAATAAAACTACTTGAATAATCATTTGGCAAATAATCACTATACACGCATAAAAAAAAAAAAAAAAAAAAAAAAAAAAAAAAAAAAAAAAAACAGTTCAGCTATTCCCACAAAATGCGTTCTCAAAACCCTCCAGCGACCAGAGCTGTGTGCATACGATTATTGGTGGGGTTAAAGCAACAAGAATCAGCATGATATTAAAGAATTCGCAGTACTAGTTTCGAAGTAAATATAGTACTAAATATAGAATCTTCTCCTTCAATTGCAGAAGTGTAAATGACGAAAGAAAAGCCTGTGGTAAGATAAGGTATGGCGGATGAGATTAAGATGGTGTAGGACAAAATAGACCGATTAAAAATAAACATGCGTGGAAAGAAACAAATTTTCTGGAAATATGTTTGTCCAATAATTTTGATAGTTATATTGGTGCTCTTCATAAAATGGTGTCTTAAACAAACTGAAATGCCTTCTTCGTAACAATAGTCAGGGAGATGTGACGCAAATGTTAAAAATATTCCGCAGCACAATTTCCTGTTAAAGTTTCAGTGGGAACTGACACAAGTTCGTGATGTAATCAAAAAGATGTGCGCTGACAAAGAGTTGTTGAAGAAAAAGGTATAGTTCCAGTTCTGTTCATTCTCCAAACAATTCGCGGATGATATGCTCTGCAGAAAAGCTTCTGTATTGGACAAGACTTTCGCTTTCATGACCTCAAGACAGGTTTCAGCTGATGAAAATCTACAGCACAACGGAAAGATTAAAGAGAAAATTTTTGAATTTCAAAGATAAATTTTTAATTCTTCTCGATTTCCTGAAAGGGGATGAAGAACCAACAACGGAATTCTCATCCAGTTCTGTGAAAGATTCTTCACAAACTGAAGAAAATATCATGAATATGGATAACCAAATGTTTAGGTATGGCGGATAAGAATCACAGGAAATAAGCCATATATTGATGAAAAATGAAAACAGCTATGAAATAGTTTACTTAAAGTAAAAAGAAATGAAAGATTTTTAAGAATGTGAGACGCCTTGAGAGAGTCTAACTCGCAAATGGAAGATTTACTGTAACGCATGGCTTTACTGGAAGGATCAATCCATACATATAAAACAGCTCAATTATCACACAAGAACAATGGTGTATAAAAAAAAAAAAAAAAAAAAAAAAAAAAAAACACCTAAAGTAAGAACTAGAATAAATGAACATGAGAACAAAAGTAAAAGGTTAAAAATTTAAGCAACAAAGATTGGTGGGAGGCAATGTTACTCGCGTCCGTGATATCCTTAATTCACACGTTCCTCCTGTGTGGTGCTTAATTAGCAACAACTACGGCTAGGGCGGCTTGGAGTAAAGCAAATGAAAGATTTTTTTTTTAATAATTTTGCCTGCAGAAAAAGGGAAAATGTGATTTTCTGACCAACAATATTAGGCAATACGTGCTTTTTTTTTTTTTTTTTTTTCTATGTACTTCGTTTTTTCTAACATATCTCTTATAGCACAATGACGGAGAATCCTGTGCAGAGCCGATTTGGAGAACAAGATTGATTAATCAAGAACTAAATTGTTCAAAAGCATTTTCTATTCACAAAGGCTTTTCACCTAACATTATTAACCCAGCGGTTAAAAAATTCCCACCTCAACACATCAAAAGGCAACTTCTCGTTTTAGGAGAGTATAAGAATTCTGTTGCCATTCCTTTCTTTCCATCGATTAGCTGTAAAATTGTACGTATTTTACAGAATTCAACTTTCGAGTCGTCTTCTCGTCTGCCAATAAAATTTATATTTATATTTATATTATTATTTTAAAGCTTCATATTTAAGGACTCATTCCGATCATAAACTCCTGGAGTTATACAGGATTCCTTGCTAATATAGTTTAATTTACATTGGTCGAACTAAGAAAACCTTAAAATACATGCTAAGGAGCATGAGGTACACGTTAGGAAAAAAGAAACATACAAATCCTCTCTTGCCCAACCCTGTTGGTCAGAGAAATCACATTTCCCATTTTTCTGCAGGCAAAATTATTAAAAAAAAAAAAAAAAAAAAAAAAAAAACATCTTCCGTTGGCGAAATTAGATTTTCTCGAAGGTTTCACATTCATAAAAATCTTTCAGTTCTAGTTAACGATTCTAATTTCATTCCATCTTTATCCTCAGCTTTTAAGTAAATTATTTCCTAGTAGTTTTCATTTTTAATCAACAGATGGTTTCCTTCCTCTGATTCTTATCGCCTTATCTTATTGATGCTTTCTCTTTCACCAATTGCTCTTTTGGAGTTAACGAAGAAGGTCCTGTAGTTAAACCTTCGAAACTAGTTCTGCAAATTTATGGATATTACTCTAATTCTTTTTTCTTTAACTCTTCCAATAATCGTTATTCGGAGTGTTCTTTTAACTGAAATCAGTAAACATACATTTAAGAAACATGCAACAATCTATAAAATTGTTGCCACAAGTTATGAGATGTGAATAAACATGTGTCCAAATAACTGAGTCAGCGTATTTTCAGGAAAAGTTCTGAAAAAACGTTAAGGACGTTTGGAAATTATAATCGAAAAAACAGTCCTCTTCGCCGACATTTCGAGAAAATGAATTTTAAGTCAAAAACTCAATTACTTAAAGGCTTTATGAAAATTTTTATCCCAACTAACTTCTTGTACATAAAAGACACTTGTTTAAAACTAATGAAAAATGTTAACGGAAGTAGTACTTACCAGTTGTCCTATATATGCTATTCACTCGTTGAACATGTCTCGTCATAGCATCGATACATGCTTCTTCACTTCCCATTCTTTGATAAAAAAGATGGTCTGCTTGGAGATAGAGCAGACAGGTGCTCTTCCTACGGTCAACAGCAACATGCCTTTGTCCTCGATCTTCTGACCACTGCGTTCGTTGTATGGATCGTACACCATATGGTTCTGAACTCCCAGTCCTTCCATCTTCAGTGTAATGCAAAGCATCCAGCTCTCGCCAATATGGTACATTGCGCTTGTCTTCTACAGACAGCTCAGGTTCAGATGGCACACTTGCCGTTTCTGCAACGGTCTCTGTAGGAGTGACACTCAGATTGAAAAACGTGGCATGGTCATAATCCGCAGTCATTGTCGAAATAGACGTTATTTCCGTAAGATCTGCTCTCTGGCTGATGTCCCAAGGGAAGGTTGATGATGATTCTGCGTTCAAGTAAGATGATGATGAGTTGTCATTGTTGGCACTTGAGTTGTACACTGAATTATGGAAAGATTTATGAGATAACCAGGATTTCAAATTTTCTTTGGAGCTTTTAGACATAATTGAATTATGGTGCATAGAATCATACACATCGTTTTCTATATTCTGAAAGGCATGTTGAGAGGTAATTTTTAAATGGTTTCTATTATGATGTTTACTATGCCGTCTACTCTTAGAATTCTTTCGTAATTTGTTTTTCCAGTACAATTTTTTTACATGGTATTTATTTACAGAATATTCTGTGGATTTTAGAAGTTCTTGTTCTACGAGATTCAACTGAGCATTATCGGATTTTCTCAAACTAGAAACAAATTTAGAACGTTTACGATGTCGAATTTTTCCTACAGAAGGCATACATGTCCTATTCGTTTCGGGAAAATGCACATCGGACAGTTTGTAAACCACTGAATGAAAATGTTGGAGCGGAGAAAAATAGTTTTTGGCTGGCTCGACGTAATATTCTTCATCATCAATTCGTATAGTGCCATCAAAAAGACCGGAATCAAGTAGAACTCCATGCACTGATGAATTTTCTTCGCCTAGAATGAATAAATATACTTATTATTTGTCAGATAGTTTTACACACAATTTCATATAGGTAAGAAATCATGGCATAATCATCACTACAATTATGCATTACCAATTTATTGACCAGATTTTTATTCACAATGCCCAATGTTATATGCTTTTGTAATACCGAAATTTGCACATCGTTCCCTTCTCTCAAAAATAAAAATGTGCAATAATTAATTATAAATATTCCAACCGTATATAATTATCATAATTTAATTTATATATGAGTTTCTGAATAGAGCCGTTGGCTGCAACTAGGAATAAACCAATGAATTTCGTGATGCGATTCAAAATTCAAATGGTATGTACATATACTTATATTCTAAAAAGATCATTTTAAAATTTATATAATCATGCCATAAATCCTTAATAATTTTTGACAAAATAAATGAAAATTACATGGCAGGATGACATTATATAAAAAAAAAATTTTTCTTTTCTGATTAAAAAAGAATAAAATCCTGTTTGTAAGCAAAAATACCGTGAGAAGTTACTCAAAATAAAGCTCATGTAGTTTTTTCGCATTGTTATATTGTAATGCACCTTTCTTTATCATTTACATAAATTCTTTTGATCGTTATTCGTAAAATTAAAACTTAATTTAATTCATCATTTAGAACAGGGATTCCCAACCCTTTTCTTGCACCGATCCCTTTAAAAAGAATGTTTTTCTTCATCGACCCCCTTTCCTTTTCCTCTGTAATATATATCACACTACATAGCCATATTATGAATAATTTTAAAGATAACAGTTATACCAAGAATATGAACAAGTTTCGAAAAAAACGTTATTAGATTTAAGTTTTATTGCTTTGTGTATTATTATTTAAAATTTTACGAAAAACGAAATAGAAACCTCGAAAATTCAAGTTTCATAAACAAGTTTTCAGAAAAAAATAAAATAAAATAAATCACAGGTTCTAATTAAACAAAAGTTCGATTTTTACTAATGTTATAGCTGCGTTTGATGTATTGATACATTTCTTTCTTTCTTTCTTTACTTTCTTATACGTAGTAAAGGAAGTATTGTAATCACGAAATATTTCGGGTATCATATTTCTACGAAAATATCTATTTTGACTGCTGTCGAAACGATTTGAGCGATGTTTTTGCGTGACATCTGTACGTACAGACATAGTAGACTATTTTTTTTTTTTTTTTTTTTTTTTTTTCTTGGTAAGATGGATTCAGAAAAGATTTTCTCCGGTGACGTCTCTTCGTACCTATGTATCCATCTTGCATCATTCAAAAACAGTAGCCTTAGAACACTGAAATTTTGTATCGCAGACTACTATAGCATGCAATTGTGCACCTCCCTTTTTGATTGCACTGTATTAGACCGCTAGGTGAACTCAGTTTTTTTTATTCTTGTATGTTGGTAAATTGTGCATTTTTTGCTTTAAAAGTGATTCAATTATGTTGTTCTTATGTTCTGGTTTTAATTAATCTGCATGCAATAGTTGTAGAATTATCAAAAATTTAAAAGTTGTTTAAGAGCTACTAAGCCTAACGTAGCCGGCATTTGTTTACATCTGAAATTCTTTAGTAGAATAGTGAATTAAATCAGTTTCTGCACCTTTAGTGTCTTTTTGCCGAGTGGGACCAAAAGTAAACTTTCAGTTTTGCTCACTGAAAAATCTGCCTTCTTGCCCACTAGCCCAATGGCTTATTTTCGCGTAGAAACTAATTTTAATTGTAATTAAAAAAAACTATTTTAACTGTATTTGGTGTTTTATGTTTTCTTTATTTTACAATTTTTAATAAAGATATTTTGAGTTTTTAATGTATTTTAGCCTTGCCGCGAAGTGAGAACTGAATTAATTGATGGAATATATTCAATAAATTCGAGGAAGTAAGTTTAAATGAAATGCAGGAAAAATGTATATAATATAATAGGCCGTACAAGGAAGTCATGGGATGTCCATATCAGATTTTTTTTAAATATATGGAATAAAATTGCTTAATTTAATATTAATATTAGTACAAAAATGTTCAACCTGTTTCTTGCTTTCCGTAGTAAATTATTGACTTGACTAAAGCTTGCCTCCACTAAATAAGAGGGAAAAGTCAATAATAGTGTTCAGTAGCAACTTTTATTTTGGGATATTTTGCTTGGATGACTTCTAAATTCAAAAACATAGCATATCTATATGCCTTTCAATAAGACTCGGGCTTGAACATTTTCTTTCAACGAAATCATCTCTTCTTGCATTGTCTCAAGATCAAAGACATTCACATTCAATAGATCTATGAGATATACTGACGCATTCAAATTTTTAATGCCTTCGAAGCAAACATTAAAACTTCTGATAAATTTTGGAAGTGGCTTGTGTATAAAAAAATATCTCTTAAGGAAATATTGTCCTTTTCAATAACCGACATTAGCATTACGTTATCAAAGTAATGGAATTCTTTTCGATCCAGTGTATAGGGTCCTAATTGTATAGAAATTAAATCAAAGTCCTTCTGACATTATTAGGTTGACAAGCGAGTTTTTGCTCTGTCTAAAAATAAGACAAAGAGTCCTACCAAAGAGACATTTTAACTCTTTGTCTACAAAGAGACAAAGAGTTAAAATAAACTGAACAGAAAGCAAAACATAGCCATATGCGTATTAAAAATAAGTATTTGATTTTAAAAATAAGTTGAAATTTCAGATTCACTCTAACATTGTCAGAGACTATACAAATTGGTCTACTTACGCTGGATGAATATTTTAATGGCGCGTTTTATTACCGGCTAGCGAAATGGCTTAAGTCGGGATATTTACAGGTAGAGTTTGGCGATATAAAGTAAACTGCAGGCGACGCTGCCAAAAGTCCTATTACTAAAACATAACTTAAATACTCTGCTATCTAACTTGCATTCTGGTAAGGACTATGGAAAGGAGAATTTATAGTAAAATTTTAAATCATAATATATAATTGGTTAATTAACATAAAGTACTCTACAAGTGTCGATATAAACAAGCCAATTTTAGAATAAAAACCGCAGATAATAGCTCTAGTTTCAATGGGATTGATGTTTTTTTGTCTCTTCTTTGCAGTTTGCTTTGTGTGGCGTTGAACAATATAACAGGCCGTACAAGGAAATGTGGCGTTGAATATATATCAAAGACAATTAATTAAAAGTTATATATATATATTGTTACAGTTTTTCTTTTCTTCTGACACCAGTTGTTACGTTATTTTCTTCCTTCACGTTCGTAAGGGGTTGTGTGGATTTGGGAGTGAAAACGACGGACTTGATGAAGTATCGAAACAACTTTATTGGCCATATTGTCAGGACGCTCCAAAACACGTTTACAGGTTCGTGAACTACTATAACAACACGCTGTCACATCGCGACACAGCCCTCAGTTATCAGGCTATCACGGTGGAGACAGCTTCCTGCAAAGCACCCGACTCTGCTTGGTCGTTTCTCGGAACTCCACGTACTCTCGAGACTCTCCATGCTACAATTCGCGATGCACTCGACGACACACGAGACAGCTCCCTACTCGTCGGTTCAGTCTCCCGAAGCGCAACCTCTCGACGATGCACTAACCGCGATACACTAACAGACTCCTTCGGTGCACTCGACGACTCGGCATTCGTTGCCCGGCTGTCAACTCGATCGACTCCGCAGGGATTGACTCGCTAGATGAGACACCAACTCGATACTGACTCTCTCGCACTCTATGCGAGGCACACACACTGTCTCGCCCTCTCGACGATGCACTCTCGCTGACTGCGGACCAGCAGGGTTTATACAGCTTTCGGCTTGTGTTCGAGAACATTCTGGGCTAAACTGGTAAGAGTTCGTTCCAGAAGGTTCTCCATCCGTCCATGGTATGTCGCCTACTGTCGCCAAATTGGCTATTTCTTGCCAAATGTGGCAACCCTGCCCTCCTTTGCTATTTTATGGCAAACCTAAAACTGCTTTTCGGGGAAGCAATCTTACCACGCCTGTACATTTCGAAACAATATGTATATATTATAATCAATGGATCTTCTTTACGCCGATTAAATGCTGGTGCATTTTCGGCTATCATCCCCTCGATCATCATTGACCCCCTTTAAAATTTCATAGACCTCCAGAGGGTCAATATTGACCATGTGGGAGTCCCCGATTTAGAACATACAAAATATTTGGTTTTTTAATTATGCTAAACAATCATGTTTTCTTATAGAACCGACTGCTTTACTTCGTATAGAACTGTAATCCGTAATCGCTAATGCCGTATCTAGGGTTATGAATTTCCCTAAATCCATCAATGCCTAGTAGAATATATGAATATTAGGTTTTTTTCAAGGAGTTATCACCCTTTCAGACCAATACATCACTCACTAAAATGCATTTGGAAGAAAGAAGAATGATAGATTGGAAAAGAAGACAATGGAAGAAGGTAATGAATCAAGTTGATAACGTCCTAACCAACATTCGCGTAATCTTCGAATATTTGAGTTATAAAGAATATTGGAAATCTGTAATGTGAACGTTCGTTTGTTCTTAACTAATCCAATAGTGGCGTTTAATTTCCGATCTTCTACTAATTGATTGCTTTCTAATTTCCGACTTCATAGCAACGCCCTGTTGTAAAAGTGGAAGAACTTTGATGCAAGTTGGCTACTGTTTGAAAAGGCAGAAGACTCAGACGTAAGATAATTTTCTGATTAAAAAAAAAAAGCAACTTGCTTAAAGTTGTGGGTACTTTTATGTCAGGGATAACTATCCAAATAGGATTTATTTTGCTGCCTTAATTAGAAAAGCAAATTAAAATTCTGCATGCAAAGTAGTGTGCAAGGATGTAAACACCTTTATGGAGGTTACTTTTTACAAGTTAGAAACTGTTTTAAATGTGTGAGCATCCTTAGATGGGTTTCTGTCTTTCCGAAGAACAGTCAAGTTAATTAAAATGTCGACCCACTTCATTTTATATTACATTTGAAACCGATGTCTTCATAATGACTTCATAATTCAAGGA